ATTAACAACGTGATTGTAAGATGGAAAACATCATCGTTAAGAATGGAGACTATTTCATTTAATAAATGTTTTGTTTTGAAGTATAAGTTGTTCGGATTTTTGCATCTAAAAAAAGCGATATTAATTTCTTGATGATCTAATAAAATCAGTACTAAATAAAAATGATACAGAATCACACAATACCAACGTCATTTATAAAATAACGTGCAGTAACTCTCCGGAACTCTACAACGGAGAAACCGGAAGAAAATTGGAAACCAGATTCGTCGAGCATAATAAAAAGCCCCCCCCCCAACATGTTTACCACCATTTCAGCTCAAAAAATACAGTATATCTATACAAAATACTGTAATTTAAAACCAAGAATCAAACATCAACAAAACACAAAATAAATGAAGGTGTCTTAATTGAACAAAACAGCCTCATTCTAAATCTATACTCCGCGTAACAAGGTACCTTTATTAAGCTGTTAAGAGCAATCTCCGGTCATGTGACCTCTTTGTTTCATACTGTATGTATGTTTATGTGTCTCTGCTAACTACTTGTACCTGACGATGACACAATATTGTTTAACGTTCTACATTTACTATAAAGTTTTTTCTTTACTCATTCAAGCCATCTCCAAAATTGTATATATATATAATATTATTTTCCTCATTTGAAACGAGTTTTCACCAAAAATAACGATTCATTATAAACAGGGGTCTGAAATCTGTAGCATGCAAAAAAGAAGGTGAATCCTAGAAGTTCTGAAGTAAAATTTCCAACTATATATGTGTGAGAAGGGATACATCCTAGCAGTCAGAAAACTGATGTTGCACCTTTGGATTCTCTTGCACAACAACATAGCTGGTACTATTGTGCATCCACATTATAGTCATATAATTGGTGTATTTTGAACAGTAACACAACCAGTATGGACGTAACTCTCTTGGAACCTTTAGATATATGGGGATACAGACTAACAATAATTGATGTATGATACCTTGTTACCTCCCCTACAAAGAAGTACAAATAATTCCATAAGGTACTGTTGGCAATGGCGTGAAACACAAATATTATTTAAATTTCTGGTTGAGTTGATTTTTCATATTTTTTTTATTAAATAATTGTTGTTGTTTGTTATTAAGCACAAAGTTACACAAAGGGCTATCTGTGCTCTGCCACCACGGATATCGAAATCCGGTTTCTATTAGTATAAGTCCACTGGAGGCTTTATTAAATAAAGCTAGATGCCATACTATTATTAATATGCAATTGAAATACATGTCAGATTGTGAAAATATATAGTTTTCACAATACTGCTTTAGTGTTTGTGTAAAAATATTTAAGAATGTACAACTAGAACATAAAGTGATATTTGCTCAAATTGGAGGTACATGTAAACTTCATTATGTTGAAAAAAAATAATTTGTAGGAGAGTTAGGTGACAAATAGAGCTGATAAATTATTAATTGTAAATATATATGGTTTTCGATAATTTTTCTCACAAGTGTAGTAAGATCAATAGTTCATTTTTTACAATTTGAGACGATGTAAATGGTTCACATCTGTTTGAGAGACCGTATATTAACTAATATATATTCAATCCACAGAGCAAACATAAAATCTTGATGACATTGCTTCCTAGCTTTAAGAGATCAGGAATATTCTGAATTTAGAAGTACTAAACAAAACTGAAATATGTGACAAGGTATAAATGCTATATAATGAGGACTTTTTAAATGTTGGAATTTGAAGTTATTGGAGCAGCTACTGTCACGTTTAACACAACCCTTTCACTAAATGCTAACTTTTAAAAGCATTACATGAGGACAATGTGACTTTAACTGGAGAACTTTTTCAGGTTTAATAGGTGGAATGATATACTAAACAGCTAAAGAAGATGTAGTAGTAGTTGCGTATGGTGTTTCTCACACCTCCAAATCCTTTTGGAGGTATGTATCCGGGAGTAGGACTAACGTCATAGTCCGAACACCGGGTGAGCATATTTTGGTGTGACGGGGATTCGAACCCGCGACCTGCAGATTGGGAGTCGAGCGCCCTAACCACCTGGCCATGCCGGGCCAGTAGATGTACTGAATTTGCAAAAATGAATTCTGCTTTCACTTGTAAGAGAAGTGTATCACTAGATGCTGACTTTAGCAAATGTCTGATATGCAAGTCAGTGATTCTGTCAGGTACACCTAATAACCATATGGTAATCTCAGATAAACTGATTTCCTCGCAAGTAATAATAGGAAGATCAAGCAGGAAATTTGTGGAATGATCTGAATTCGAAAACTCGACGGAGTTTTAAGCTGTGTGAGAAATAAATAGACTGGACACGTTGAATGTTAAGAGAAATAATCTTTATTTAAGTTACAACAACAGCAAAAAAAAAAAGCGTGTGTATTAAACACTTAGATAATCTTATCTACTTCATATTTTATTTTATCGAAATGGATATCTACACAACTACTCATGATACAAGCCAAGTAGAACTCGGCGAGAATAAAGGTCCAATCTAGCAAGAAACCTTATATTCTTTCTCTTACGATAGCGTCACTAAGTTATTAGGTATTCTCTCACAGCATTATTCAGTTGGAATAAATACTATTCACTATGTTAGCAAAGGACGCATCAACATTTTCGTAAGTGTTATCTGCTATGAGAAAAACAAAGTCATACAAACAACTATAACTAAGTAATTTTAACAGTTTCCTGGATCACGTGTTTCATGCCAAAACTGGGTAGAAACAACCTGAACAAAAATGTATAAATGTTTGCATTACTAAACATGGTGGGAAAACACATGATATGCTCGCATATCACAACCTCACTAATAAGGGAATAAGCTTCATCAGAAATGCTATATAATCGCGAAATAATAAAGGATATAACATGTTATAGTCTCTACTTCAAGACATCGATACATTTCTTTCAAGGAACTTGTAAAAAGGAACTTTGATTATAACCTTATAAACAGCAGTTCATATAATGAATATTTAATGACATATTATGTGTTGGAGTCTCAAACCTTTCTAATTCACACCAAAATGAGATGAAACCTTTCATTTTGAGCAAGTGTTATAAAATAAGATTGTGTGAATTTGGATAAACTTGAACTATATTTGACGAAAAATTAATTTTCTGTCTCCATCCATTAACGATTTACGTGAACATGATGAAACTACCCCCAAAAACTGTGAATTTAGTATGCCACAAGCATATAACATATAGAGTACCATCAGATACTGCTAGTACGCTAATAGCATCTCTATGATGTGTATTTGTAGGGCAGGTGAATATAGTTGTTAATCTAAATGATCACAAAGTTCAAAATGTAAAGAAGTTAAATATATTCTGTATATATCAGTCCAGTCAAAATACGCCAGCTTTAAGACAATGGGGGAGGAGCAAAAGTACCTGCTATATTGCTGTGCAAGAGATTCCAAAGGTGGGAATAACATTTTTGATAGTTGAGATGTCTCTCTCATCAAATATAATGTCAAAAATGTTATATCAAAGAAAGCAATATTTTGTAAAATACCCAACCTCGGTAGGGGAGACCGGGGCTAGTTGTTACGATTTTTAGAAAAAGTCCAATATCTAGCGAAATAGCCCGAATCATACATTGAAAATGTATGGAAGTGAAAGATAAATATGTACTTTATCAAAATTATGTATTCTATATTGAACAAAATTGGTTACATAAAAGATTTTGTAAATATTTTGAAGTAAAGTCAAGTGTAACAATATGCACCGGATGCGGGGTAAGTTGATATAATAGGTGGGGCAAGTTGTTATACAATAAAAAAAATCTGTAATATTTACCAAAATTAGCCTACACTATCATGCTAAATGTTATAATAGGCCTACTGTAGTTTTCTCATAACATTTAGCATGTTAGAGTATAAGCTTAATTTCAGTAATTATTCCAGATTTTCTAAATTTTAATGCGATATAATAATTGTAGGCTTAATAAATTTATTAATGATTACACCATAAAAAAAACTTTTAAAACGACAATTCAAACATAATTATATTATAATGAATTTATTATTGATTACACGATAAAATAAATCTTGAAACGTTATTTAAACATATAAGTATCATTGTTCCATGATCGAAAAACTTAAAACAAAAATGGTTATAGTTCCAAATTGTGATTGTGACACAGACATATTTGTGAAATTATGAATGCACAGCAGGTGAAACTCGTGGTCCATGAGCACACTTATAACAGACTGTACACTGCACCCATTCTTCTCTGGATATAGAATTACTAAACAGGTATCCACATAGAAGGCACTCAGTTTCTTCCATCCGATTTTTCGCTTTTTTCTTGCCTTTATTACCAGCGCTAGCGCCTTTTCCGTGACCACTCTCTTTCGTTTTCTTTTTATCTCTGTCATCTTTTTCAAGCTGGAGTTTTTTGGTTTTTTTCGGGTGTAGAGGTCAAAATAGCCGAATATCGTTTTTTCCTGGTTATTTTGGTCTTTCGTGGGGATGCCTTCCTGAAAGGTCTTATCATCTCTGGAGTCCTCAGCGGGTCTGATGTTTTCCTGTTGGTAGGAGGACCATTCATTAGTACGTCTTCACTAGTAGATGATGTCTCCAAGTTTTCTGTTGATACTTCATTTGGCAAGGGGCGATATGTTACGTCGCTGGGTAGAAAATCATCATCCGAAAAAATGTGACGGTCAAAAGGATATATGCCGGAAACTTGAAAACCATTCTTGATATTTTCTGGAGTAAGCGCTCGTGTAAGGCTTTGATTTACTAAGGTTGGTATGTCATAAATGCACATTGTTTTTCCAGGATTGTTCTTTACCCAACCGTCATCTGCTGCGTTATAATACTTCTTGAAAGGCCCGTATATACTTCTATCCAGGGGCTGTAATCTGTGCGAACAGTGAGGCGGGAACGAGAGAAGATTTATACCATTTTCCACACAAAAATTGATACAATCTAAGCTGATATGTGACTCATGGTTATCAAGGAGAAGAACAATAGGATGATCCTTAGAACATTTGACTGTCTTCACAAAATGTTCCATGAATCTTTTTTCCCACGCGTCCATTTCAAAGATCACTTCCTAAACGGGGGACCAGCTGGAAAACAGTACACATAACAAACAACAATGTTTGATGTTTTCGACAAATAATCTACAACTTTTAAAGTTTTCCACAAATAAGCATTGAAACTCAGTAAGCAGGTCATGGTTGTATATGGTAATTCAGAGCTTGATCTCGCACATGTTAAAAAGGCAGGAGTAACATAACTACAAGTTTTCAAGATACGCTGACCCAATTACTTAATAATAATGGGCATAGTGGGAACAGATACAATTATTTTGATGAATCCCGCGAGGAATGAATCTAGACAGGGTATATCCGGGGAATACATAGTAGTCCAGGGATTGGACTAACTCTTCTAATCGACTACCAAGAAAATGTTTAACACTGACCCCCCACCCTCAGTAGAAACGGGGACGTGCCTCATTTTGCTGGAAAAATACCGTGTTTACCTTTTTCTGTAAATGAGATGTCAGGAAGCTTTGCACAAATTTATGAAAAATCTGTGGCTGTGTTAAATGTTTTGTATTTACATGGTTAAGTAAAAACGTTAATCGTTTATATTTAAGAAACAGAAAAACTGCAGATAAAACAGATATACGAAAGGATTCTTTAGGCTGTTTATCCAGAAACAATGAAGCCATTATGCCTCTTCTAGAGCGGAATGTATTACGTCAAGATTTTAAAAAGAGAGACCGAATCAACTTATATAACCCTGCGTGTTTTTTGTTTGTTTTTTAATTCCGTGAATAATCTGTTTGCCGGCTTTCTATAGGAATATAAAACATAGTAAGATCATGAAGAGCAACTTGCGGTCTTTAACACAATGACCTCTTTCCTAACATCTGGCAGTTTTGCAAGATTGCATTCCGACTGTAGTGTGCAGAAGACTCTATTCTAGGAAACACGGGAGGGTGAGCTAGTAACTCCTTATTGTCTTTTTCAATGTGCTTTCTAAGCATTTTACATAGATAGTATCTCAAATTTCAAGTTATGTTGAGCTCTCTTCTTCTCAAAGTTAAAGTAGAAATTCTACTATAATCTTCACAAAAAGCGTTGAAATGCAAGTACAAATTGTGACTGGGGATATTTTGTTTGTTTCTAATGAAGCACAAAGCTATACAATCGGGGCTATGCTCACTGTGGGTATCAGAATTTCCGCTGTACCAATGGGACAACTGGGAATATAAAACAAGAAAACTTAAGAAAGAGTTCTTTTTTTCTCTACCGTATATCCCATAATTACTCATATTCTTTTCCGATATATAAACAACAATAAAAAGGTATGTTTGGGAATAAAAATAAATTTTAAAAGTTCGTTAACGCGAGAGACGCTTTTTTTTTCACGTACGTAACGGTACGTGGAATATAATTAACTTATGGCAACAAAAAATTGATTTCTTACACCACACCATTATTGACGAAGTTTATGGAGGAAATTTTCCATACTTAAGAAATGATGCTTTGTTACCTACGCCCTTAACATTATTAGTTTATATATGTTAGTTGTAATTTGATGTTGTTGATCAGCAGGAATGAAAACCGTGTCGTTGTTGTCGTGTCGTTTTATTATACAAATGTGAATACATGTGTGTGTGTATGAAAAGAATAAAGACAGTTTGTTTGTTTTGAATTTTGCGCAAAGCTACACGAGGGCTATCTGCGCTAGCCGTCCTTCATTTAGTAGTGAAAGACTAGAGGGAACGCAGCTAGTCATCACCACCTACCGCCATCTTTTGGGCTACTCTTTTACCAACGAATAGTGGGATTGACTGTCACATTATAACATCCCCACAGCTTAAAGGGCGAGCCTGTTTGGTGGGACGGGAATTAGAACGGCGACCCTCAGATTGCCAGTCAAACACCCCAACCACCTGGCCATGCTGGGCTAAAAAAGACAAAACTTCTATTAGCGAGACTGATACGTATTATGTCATTTAACTAACAAAACACTAAAATAATTGAGGTGGAAGGTTATAAAATATTTATATATATATATATATACTAATAACGACCCTGCATCGTTTATTTCTGTTGAAACTTCTTGAAGAAAATTCAAAAATAGTTTATACATAAAACTCTGTGTTGTACATTTTACGAATCGCCATTTTGAGAAATACTTAATTGGTACTAATATTACACAAACATATGAAAGAATAGATGTTAAACAAACGGACTTACTGTCTCTAGTGGTTAAATATTTAAGTGAAAATCTCGCATGTCTGGTTATAACGTTATTATATTCAATGACATATATCCAGTTGAGTTTTGATTTCGGTTGCGAGTGGAATCTCTAGCTATACAACTCCTATGCAGAAAAAACAAATACGCCTTTATAAGTTTTACATGATAACTATACAACACTTGTACATGATTTCTATCAGAGAAGTGTATAAGAATCTAAGATGGACGCGGCGTAACCTTATAATGACTACTTTTCTGCAGAGTGTATTAGCTATGCAGAGAATCGTGTGCCATTTGAAACTTATTTTTCTCATTTTCTTTTAATCACGAGAGTATTGTGTCAGTTTTGAGTCACAAGAAGTTGTTAGAAGATCTAGACAATAAATTTTCCAGAGCGAACTATTAGCACTTACTTTTTCTTTGATTGTTGTTGTCACTTGTGACATCAGTGTGGTACTAGTGGTCGATATTTTAGTAGTTGTTGTTGATGCTGAAGAGAATGATGAGATTGTGGACAAATATTGTTGAGAAAATGAAGGGACATCCTTTGATCGAGGTACAGAGCTAGACCCTGGTGGTTTCCATATGTAACTATTGGCGTTGTTGTTTGATGCTTTCTGAAATTTCATAACTTTGAACATAATAGGTGTAAAGGTAGTTGAAAGAGTTAGAAAAGTATCATTTGTTTCGAGGCTGGTGACGGGTGGAGGAGAGGGCGTTTTAGAAGATTTCGGAGTGCGGGTTATGTCTTCGGATGTAGAGTGGGGAACTAAGCTATCCACATTTTGTCCAGTTGATGTTTGTTCTGGTTGAACCTCGTTGGGTTCCTTATCGCAGACCGACCCACTTTCTTCTCCTTGTATAACATTGTTTGACTCCACTTCCTGGCAAATAGCCCTAGTGTGGTTAAAAGGTTGGTCATCAGGAGACGTTAACTCGCAGTCTTGTTCCACTGAGATCGGCCCGTTTGAAAGAGGGGCTGTTTGTATGGCTGATGAACAGGGTAAATTAAATTCTTTTTCTTGAAGTTGATATGTGACAGTTCCAGGGTCTTCTTCTATCTGAAAGATTGAAATGACTCAGTATTCGAAGTCACTTTCATACCCCAAGTGTTACAAAAAAACCAACATACCTCTTAGCAACAGTTGTAGTTTGAAATATGTTTTTTAATGAAGTAATGTAACCAAGTTCGTCAATCACGTACATGGAACAAAATGAGCAGTTGAAATAAAACAAAGACAACGGACTTAGCAAGCGAAAGTCGCGAACTGAAAGTTAAGACTGTTAGCTGATTTCACGAAAGTCGAGCTTCTTAACTACGAGGGTCATCTGACAGATGTTGTAAATAATATTAAAAAGTTATCATGAGATTGTCCTCTTTAAAATAAACCAGTAACAAAGTAAGAATTGTTAAACACATATATAAACTCGTTGTTTAACACATATATACAATTGTTAGCTCAGTTGTAAATCCATGTAAGAATTCACAAAAGTCGAGTATAAACTGTACAGGATCGTGAGGCTAAGATTTCCTGTCTAACTTGGTTTTTGATTTAGCGGTTAAAGTGATTTACCATTGATAGGTTATTATAGAAATATATCCGAAAGCTAAACAAAGAATATCAATGAATAAAAAATAATACTATATATTTTAGTGCACTAAAATATTTGATTGGTTAAGAATGAATCATTTGCTCGTCAATAGACGCGTGATCATATGAGGACGGCCCATTAACATTGAGTGCTACATGTGCTGTTCCTCAGCTCGGGTAAGGAACAGTTCGTCAACAAAGGTAAAATTATCAGCTACATTATATCAGACATTCCCAACCTGCACTTCTTTGCACTTCTCAGGGGGTACATAGGGGTCTGAAAGTATAACCATGGTTTACGCTTTAAATGGTGTTTTAATCTACAGTCAGACAAAGAGAGCAAAGTGGCTCATATAAATATACACTCTTTAGACAAAAAGTTGTGATCATGATGAGCGTTGTGATGTTATTGCTGTGCTACATTATAACTCATGTTTTCAATATGTAATGTAGAATATAAGCAATATGGAACACCCTCGTTACAAATCAGCTGATAACTTAGAGATCAGCCAACTGGGCAAGCTCTCCTCCCTCCATTAGTGCTTTGGGAGAGAATGCCCAAGGGGTACAGAGGAACAAAAGGGTTGGGAATACCTGCATTATATCAATAAAGTGCGCGCACTAAATAATTCACCTTGCGACAAAATACTTTCGCGCTTTTTATAATTGACTTTTCGTAAGATCTTCAAAATAATGTACTGAACGATAGATATATCGTGATGTTTTGACATATTGATTTTAAGGCAACATGAAACGTGGCATTAAGATAACTACGTTATCGGTTATAATGTTAGATAACACAAAGTCAATTTAATTTGAGTACAGAGGGCGTCTTGTAACGTCTCGAGTTTGGGTAGATCTTGACACATACAGAATTTTCTCTTTTTATTTTTTGTTTCCATTATTAAGATATAGTTGTGTGCAAGGGAAGACGTAAGTATACTGCCGTTACCGTTAGAAGATCGGATCGTTTTATAACTTGTAAAGAAAATAAACTTATTGTAATTAACTTAATTCTTATTTTGAAATTCACTTGATGGTATTCGAAAAGTCTTCAAACTGGACATTCAATCAAAATACAGTTACACTCTTTCACGTTAATATACAGTATTCGTTCAGATTTTTAACTTTTTAAAAACACTTTCATGTCAATTCATTGGTTTTGTTCAGATTATTTCACACATAATCAAAATACATTTATACACCTTCAAGCGAAAACATGGTTTCGGTAGTATTTTTTTATGTCTAAAATAAACTCCATAATTATTATGTTGCTTCATTTAAGATTTTTAAACACTTGGAACTTATTTATACACATCGTTATTCGCGCAATAAACTTCCTGTCGTCCTAACCTGGTTTCTGTGAAGTATGTGATTTCCATTTTCTTTGCTCTTCTCTGTTGTCATTTCATAAGGCGATACTAAACCGTTCAATTGAAGTATTGCGCCATCTTTTATTTCTTCATCTGACCTATAAAACACACACCAAAAACAGTACTTTAAGCTTACATTCACGTTAGCAGTTAGTTCTCTAGTGTTTTACGTTCTTATGCTACAGTTTTAATGGTATCGAAATAAGACGACGAACTTTTAACTTGCCACAACAACCAATCAGAGAAGCGATGCAAGCAAGAACGTGCAGAATAAGACTGTATTTTTTGTTTTGTTTTAGCTGGTTGTCTGGTGAAGATATTTTTGATCCAAAGCTTGTAGCAGCCGCTTGTTTTGATAGTGTGTTGAAAGTATTGTTCCTGCGTGTATTCTGCATTGACAGCAAATTTATTTTAATCGAAGGGGCAAAGAAACAACTCATTATATCTTTAAAATAGCTCTGATATATTGAAATTAAGCAAACTCTTCAAATACTTTAAATATTGTCTTTGGAGACAGGTATTGTTGTGGAATTCTATAGGCTACAGTCAAGGAATTTCTAAAGAGAAGACATTAATGCTACTATTCTTGTGTTATGATAGCATATAAAGATTTTTCTGCATACTGTCTCAAATAACAACCGAATTGTTTCATGATGTACAATGATAAAGAGGTAATAAGCCTCCAAGTTATCCCAAATTTAATTACTACGTTAGCTTGTTTTTTTCTCCCAAATTAATAGAAACTGATAAAAGATAAAGCTTTGAATTGAGGAAAATAATAATAGATCAAATGTTAATAAATTAAATAAATCTTTCAACAAATGGTAGAAAATTAACAGAAAATTGTTGTTGTTGTTTGTTGTAAAGCACAAAGCTACACAATGGACTATCTGTGCTTTTTTAACGTTATAAGCCTAGATACTTACCAACGAACCACCAGGGGGCTCCATAGAGAAGTTTTATGTTAATAAGTAGTTAATTTAAGAACGTGAGTGTACTACAGTTATACATTTGTTATGCAACATTTATCTATTATTGTAAGATATTTTAGGACATTAGGAATATCACAATATTTTGTCTGATATCAAACACGCGTTATGATTTATAGCTCTTTTCCGCCAGGGGCTGTAGAGATGGGATAACGAACACAACTTCTATGCACTGGTTATTCGAACACAAGATAAGTTCGCGTGAAAGGAAAATTCATTTATGTAATGTAATAGTTTTACAACCGTTTTGATCTGGTCTGGAAATATTTTTAGTACTATTTAACGAAGTTGGAATTATAAGAAAACGTTTCGTAGATGCTAGAATATTTTCTGGATTAATGTAACTTTTCATCAAATATGCCTGAAACATAAAATTACTAACGCTAGCTTTATCGATCTACAATCCTGCACTATGAAGAGTAACAGAAACATGCCAAGTTTATTCCTTTTTTTCATTGTTCTAAGGAAAGTAGAGTGGTAATTATAAACAAATAGATACACAGAATGATAAATAGATAGTTAGACACATACAGATAGGCAGATAAACAGAGGAATATGACAAAACTTTCAATGCTGTTCTGTCAAGTATTTGAATTTCGGAAAATTATAATGACGTAATAAAATCAGAATGACAATGAAGTTCATCTTTTTTTTATCTGCTCCTGATTAGTTGTTATCAATAAAATTTATTTCGTCTCTCAAGTCGGTAAAGCAAACAAAACAACATAAATAGTGATACTTTTAATGTGAGCTTCGTTACTGACATCTTACTAATAAATAACCAATCACCTGATTATCTCCAAGACTAGAGTCTCCTCTGATGCGTCTACAATATTCATTGCTTGGTCATAGGTCAGGCCTCTAACCGGTCGGCCGTTGATACTGTCCACTACATCCCCTTCATATAATTGGCTAAACAGCTTGTTATTGTGTTGTATCTGGAATTGTAAACAACAACAAAATGAATACGTACGTGTTTATAATTGTTACGGAATTTCATTTTTGTGCAACGATTTATATACATGCATACATATTTATGGCCTATGAAACAATAATTACAAATAAAGAAAGAGGCAGCAATAGTAAAGTCAATCTAAGATTCAATTAGACACAAGTCTATTAGATAGGAAATACATGTTATGAAATAAGCCAAAGGCGCTAGTTTGTTTGCGTTGAATTTTGCGCAAAGCTACACGAGAGCTATATGCACCAGCCGTCCCTAATTTAGGAGTGTAAGACTAGGGGAAAGCAGCTAGTCATAATCACCCCCCACCGCCAAATCTTGGGCTACTCTTTTACCAACGAATAGTGGGATTGACCGTCACATTATAACGCCACCAGCATGTTTGATGGGAGGGGGATTCGAACCCGCGACCCTCATATTGCGAGTCAAGCGCCCTAATCACCAGGCCATGCCGTGGCTAAAGACATTGGAAAAATATTCTTTACAAATTAGCATTTTCCTTACCTTACTGAGAATTGTACCTTTAACTTCTCTTTAGTTTGTAGCCTCAATTCTCAGAGAGGCAAGGGAAGAATACACTTTTTTCGTACATCTTTAGAACGTTTCTGAAAGATCGTTGTATACGTTTAACTGTTTGGTCTCATTAGATCTCCTTTTTCCTTTGTTTAAATACTATAACACTATTGTTTACTAAAGTCTGAAGCATATCTCGTACTTTATACTGTAGAAGATCAGTACATACAGCCGAATCCACCAGCACGAGATAGTACTTTTGATCTGTTGGATTACAAAGATAATTTCTTGTGTAAGGATGCATCGTAATGATCTTCAGATCAAGTAAAAAAAAATAATATCAAAAGTTACTCAACGCTATGCTTAAGGACTTTTACTACTAAAAAATTAGGGCGGGTACAGCGCAAATAGTCCATTGTGTAGCTTGCGTTTAACAATAAACAAACAAAAATATATCATAAATGTTTTGTTGTGGATTTATGAAATGAGACTCAGAAATAGGTGTTGAATTCGTGATTTCTAAGCGAGATAATATTTTAACAAAACAGAAAAGCTGCGTCAGAAAAACGACACCATTGTTCTATAATAATAAGAAAATATACAATGTTGAATTATGGTTCAGAGTAACAAAACTAGCTTACAGATCACATTTCTTTATTTCTTACACGAAATACACACAATAACAGAGTTCTTAATTCAATCACTTTAACTGCTCACCGTACCTTCTCTAGAACACCTCAAGCAGGTAAGTGTTAGTAATTATGTTTCTTGAAAGGTAGCGGTAAAAATCTAGTTCATTTAGAACACGGTATATTAATACACATTGAAATTGAAAGCAATTTTTGTGAACTAATATTGATTACCATGTTAAATATATTTTGGTTTTTGACACTAATGTGATTAAATTTCAAAATATTTTGCCAATTACGCCATGAATGATGTTAATGCAGTATAATATAAGAGTGTTTTTGTCCATTATTACATCTATATTAGATACTTTAATATGCAGAAAGACTTTCCGAACATGTAGTAACTGATATGATTTCAATAACCATGCAAATACAATACGTTATTGGTATTTATTTGTTAGTTTTCTGTGTAACACTAACGCGCTACTTGTTAGCCCAAAATTGAGGTTATGTAACTGCTTCTATACATGGAGAGTTCTATTCGTTTACCTGATGTTGAAACGTTCTTGACGACTCATCCCGGCTATATATAATAAACAAGCTAATAAGATTTTATCTATTTGTTATCAGTATTTATATTGTAAAGAAATCGTTCATGTATAGAGCTTTCAGAGTTTTTCAAATATATATCTGCGCATTTACATTTACTACTAAAGCAAAAACATTATTTTATTTAGAATAAAATAAAATTACGCATGGTTATTTTCTATTAGTAAGTTAATTATACAAAGTCGAAAGTGGTAGCCAATTGAATCGAAAGTACTTTTCAGAATGACGTATAAAAACAAAGTAAAATCTAGATGCTAGATTTTGAGCTAATTACTTGGTATACATATAGCAGAGAAAGAAACTTTATAGTGAAAGTTTACAAGAGAGTCTGAACAGTTTAACCAGCTTTAAAAACATAAAAACTTCCTGGGTTAGTGTTGACACTTTTTAAACAGTCATTGATAGGCTGACAGAAACTTTCTCAATACATTGTAATTATATGCTGTCATGCTGTGAATTATCTTAAAATATTCAATGTTAGTATAGAATTTGAAAAGAATTTTAAGAAATGTTTTTGAATAATTTAGAAGGTGTATTTTGAGGAGTTTACTAGGGCTTGTGCCAATAACCTTGCGTGCTTCACTGCGTGTTTAACATCTTAATAATACATCAATTTCATGTCCTTCTAAAAAGAAAAGCTTAAAAATGCACGTTTTTTGAATAATGAACTCAGAAGTATGTGCTCTTTAGCATCCTGCCAATGTTTCTAGGGGAACAACATTGTAAATCCTGCTTATTCACCAAACTCCAATTAGTTAAGAGTTTCATCTGGCTATACCCCTCGTTTCTCGGGCCACGATATTGGCAGGGTGCTAAAGACTACATACCAATTCATTAGTCAAAAAAAGTTCATTTTTAAACTTTGAAATCATGTTCGGAAAGTCTTTCTACATATTAAAGTATCTAATATAGATGTAATAATGGACAAAAACACTCTTATATTAACATCACTACATTAACATCACTTATGGCGTAATTGACAAAATATTTTGAAATTTAATAACATTAGTGTTTGTTTGAAATTAAGCACAAAGCTACACAATGGGCTATCTGTGCTCTGCCCATCACGGGTATCGAAAACCGGTTTCTAGCGTTGTAAGTCCGCAGACATACCGCTGTGTCACTGGGGAGCCACATTAGTGTCAGAAACCAAAATATATTTAACATGGTAATCAATATTAGTTCACAAAAATTGCTTTCAATTTCATTGTGTATTAATATACCGTGTTCTAAATGAACTGGAATTTTACCGCTACCTTTCAAGAAATATAATTACTAACACTTACCTGCTTGAGGTGTTCTAGGGAAGGTATGATGAGCAGTTAAAGTGACTGAATTAAGAACTCTGTTATTGTGTGTAATGAGTGTAAAAACAAACAAATCAGATCTGTAAGCTAGTTTTGTTACTCTGAACTATAATTCAACATTTTCTTATTATTACAGAACAATGGTTTCGTTTTTCTGATGTGGCTTTCTCTGCTTGAGAAACGAGAAGGATGGCCAGATGGATCTCTTAGGTAACAGAAGTTTGGTGAATAAGCAGTACCTATAATGTTGTGGCTCGAGAAACGGGACAGGGGTAATCATATGGAACTCTGTGTTAACTGAACATTATCAAATAAGCAGGATTCACATTGTTGTGACCTGAGAACCAAGGAAGGTTGGAGGTAACCAGATGGAAGGTGGTATTAACTAAAGTTTGCTGAGCTAGCAGAATTCACAGAGTGGTGGTCTAAGAAATGAGAGTTTTAACGAGATGGAATTCAAAATTTGCCGAATAAGCAGTATTCACATTGTAGTGGCCAGAGAAACGAGGGGGCAATAACCAGATGGAACTCGGAATGAGCTGAAGTTTGCTGAATAAGCAGGATTCACAACAACTTTTAGTTATTTACAGGTCGGAGCTGCTTACTTTAAACTTTTCAGACTGGAATCTATTAATGATAGAGGTTGAATATCGAAACTTTTCATTTTATTGTTTTTGCGAATCATTGTGAATTCGTAGGCTAACTCACATTATCATGACGTAGAAAAGTCTGTTTCAAGCTTTTGGGTGTCTTGTGTAATGATTAAAACCAACTGTCACGGCTTATGTCATTTCAGAGGCCTGTAGTGAGAAAGGAGGTATGTAGAAGGTAACACGACTGTAAACATTTGTTTGCAGTACAGCTTCAGCACCCAATAGCTAAAAGAACGTATCACGAAATGTGTGTAAAATGTCAATTCTGGAAGAAAGACACAATTGATGTTTTGGTAAGTGTTGATTGCGACATATGTGAACCTTTCAATGAGAGTTAAATGTGACACACGTGGATCTGGACGATATTTAGATGTGACACTTTTCACTTCATAATAAACTTTTATGTTACCAGATAACAGAATAATGCTTTCTGTATTTAAGGAAATAAATACAAATAGGAAGACATTTGAGTTTCGTGGTCATGAAGCATAGTATAATAAGACAGAAAAAAAAGACAAAAAAAAAGCACTAGAACAAAAGAGCTGGGATTAGTTTGCTAGCTTTGGTAAATAATTAATATGTTTTGCTAGATAACCATCAGAGGGCTTGAAAATTTGGGCTTAGGTGTCGTTAGCCTAATTATAAATACAACCAATCAATATATTTTGGTGGATAAACTTGAGAGGGCGTGAAAAGTTGGACTGACATAACTATCCTAAGCTATAGTTTATCAGTATGTTTTACTGTAGGGCGTGAAAACCAGGATTTGTTGGAAAACTTAATTACAAATATGTTATTATATTTTGATTCAATGCGGTATGAAGGATTGTATTGCTCCCAAAGTTTAGTTGTAAAGGTCGAGGTAACAAAAACAACAACAACAACAACAAAAAAAAAAAGGATTTGCTTTTCGGAGAGTGTTTTACCTTACGATATTTAAAAAAATCAGTTGCGCTGACAGAGGTTTTTTTAGTGAAGCCTGAAGATACTTTTAAGACTACAATAACTTTTCCTGTGACTCCTAATCCCTGAGATAACACAATAAAGACAATATAATGTGTCTAAAACTCTGGAAGTTACAGTTGCACATCTTAAAGGTAGTAGAAATGCTGAAGACTCAGAAGTTTGCAGTTTTATGAGAAAATCGATGTTTGACTTTAAATAGCTTTCCTTGGGTAACCAAAACAAGAATAGAAACTCTATAAAAAGTTAAATAATAGAAGCACGACGGAGTACTAATTGCTAGAGAATCCACAGTGTCTG